CCTACAACAGATCAATTAAAATGTTAAAAAGTAATTTCTATATATATATATTTTCCCAAAGCCACAAAGAGCCACTGGAGAGGGGCTTAAGAACCGCAAGTGGCTCGGGAGCTGCAGGTTGCCTATGCCTGTGCTAAGCTAAGAGACTGCTGTTCATATTCAACGGACAGACATGAGAGTGGTATTGATCTTCTCATATAACTCTAGATAGAATAAGCGTATTTCCCACAATTACTCCTTTAATCCAGGGAAAACTGCTGTTGTGAACTGAGGCTTCATCATATCTTCCGAATGTTGAATCAGAGATGAGTGGATGAACCAGGCTATTCATTAGCCTCCTGTTGTCTATAATTAGTTATATACCTCTTTTATCTTATCTCAATAATGGTCTGATGAATGTTCCCAGTATTAAGAGTACTAAGAGGTATAACTATATATAAAGGTAGTGACATAACAGGGAAGCTCAATACAGCAGATATCTTGGCTTTGAAACAAAGCGGAGTCTGAAATCACTCCCCAGTTACTACCAGTGCACTTTATTTACTCGGCCATTTTATTTGAGTGTCCAAATTCTTCTCTTTTAAAGGTTTTTTTTTGGGGGGGGCTTTTAGTCTTTCTTTGATAGTGATCGTAGAGACACAGATGAGAGAGATGAATTATTATGAATTAGTTATAACTAACATGGTTATTACTATCATTACTGTTAATATTTGTCTGCTTTGGTAATATGAGCACTGTCTTTTCATGCCAATAAAGCTCATTAAATTGAAATTGAGAGGGAGAGATAGCGAGAGAGACATGCAATAAAGGCCGAAATCAAGATGGGGACATTGCAGTGTGGGGTCTTAAAAAGTCTAAAATCCAATAATCAGATTTTTAAAGCCTAAAATGTCTTAAATTTGATTTTGACAGGTCTTACAAACTGATTAGGTTAAACTTGCATTAACTTTAGTCTCGCTTTTAAATGTGTTTTTGGGAAAATTTGTATTGATCATTCTGTAACAACCGACATGGAACCAATACGAAATTTCCTACATAGTTTTTTTGCTTTTTAGGCCTTAAATTCCATTCATAAAGGTCTTAAATTTGTCCTATTGAAACCTACAAAAGCCTATCTGGGTTACTGGACACAGTGTTTAAATTCTAAATGCACAAATTATGCTCTATGTAGCGCCCTCAATCCCCAGAATCAAACAAATGTAGTATCCATAGCATGTATAACCTGGACATTTAGCATGAACAACCCTGGATTAGTGGGGTGTACATAATAAAGTGGCGACAGACTGGTACATTTATTCAAAATCAAATCGAATCATTATACTCTTTACAAATGTACTTTTATTTTTCTGGCAGATTCTCACATTTAAGCTCAGGACAACAGAAACGGAAAAAAAGAATAGGTATAGAAAAGTTACACATAATCAAATCATGACCTCAACCGTTACTACGACCACAGTCTTAATCCTAATGAGTAACTGAGCATAGTCCAGGTGCAGCTGTGCAGTGAAGAAGCCTTTCCATCACAGATTACAGGGACCGTATGCGCTCAGGTCAGCATCCCCAATCCAGATGTTCGAGCCAGGAGACCGCTTAGGTTGGTTTGACGTTGGTTGGAAAAGTGGACAGACAGGATGCTGTATGACCAGTTTTTCAGTCACATGGCTTGGGCAGGACCTGACCTTCGACCTCATGACCTCACCTCTTGGCCTTCTTCTCCTTCATGATCTTCTTGCTCTCCTCTCTCCTCCGTTTATTGACGGGGTTGCGTGGATCGTAGATCTCGAAGGTGTCCTCGTCGTGCATGTTGGCATCCTTGACTTTTCTGGTTTGCTCATCAAACTGCAGAACATGGCCCATCCTAAATCAGATGGAGAGAGATGGAGAGAGTTCAAAGAACAGCAGCAGAGGATCCACTAAATCACTGTAGAGCTCTTACCGAGAGGCTGGTCTCTTTGTGCTTGGAGCAGTTTGATTACAATATTATAAAAAAAAACATGGGTACAACTTGAGAAAACATTTCTATTATTGTGATTGCTGGTATTTTCATTTCCAGCTGCTTATCATGAATATGTTTATCATAATAATAAATATTTTTACTTTCAAAAAGATGAAAACAAAACAATAAAAAAAGCTCCAGTGTTTAGGATTTAGTGCCGTCTAGCAGCATAGTTGCAGATCGCAGCTCACTCGCTTCACCCTCCCTTTCCAAGCGCAAGGGAGGAATTACGCCTCATTCTAAGGTAACAAAATCCTATATTCAGGTGATTATACATAATGAAAACATTACTATGATCTGAATTATATTCCATTCGCCGAATACAGCCTCCTAAATGTTACCACACTGGATATTTTTAAAGCATGAAACAATACAAATATTGTAGGGTATTGGTCAAATCCTATGTAGTCATGTATTAGCATAGGTCTGTCATGTTTGCAGTGCAGAACGGTAAACAGGCTAGCGCTAAAAGCTAAGATAAATCCAGCTGATGCATTCAAATGTATTATTAAATACTCCAGATGGTTTCAATATAACCACTGCAACTACTCCAGTGAAGATCGCTGATACTAAACTTTAAACTAAACTTTTTGCTATGTAAAGATGTAGTGGAGTAATGGTGTCCCGAGCAGAGAGGAACGTCTTTGCTGTTATCGCAGCCTCTCTGTGGTTTGTTTACAGAGCCAGTCTGGCCATGCGTAGATGTGAGTGTTAAACTGAGGAGAGTGCCTGAGCACCTTACATTTATTACTTATAAACACCTTTACTTTATAAGTAATTGGCTGAACTTATTACATTTTAACATTTAAACTAAACCCAAAATACTTCTAATACATTCTGTACTTCTGTCTGTGGGAAGCCAATATACAGCCATATATATATAAGCCTGTGTCACACAAGGTATTATGAACACAGATTTTAAGCCTTGTCGGAATTTAAACCCACAGGGGCACTCAGACTAAATGGTTAAAACATGATTTTGAGTCTAGATGGGTAATATTCTACCATATTAATGCTGGTATTCAAAACCTTGCAAAGTGTACATAATGAATCACTAAAAAGACCACTTTTCTTTGCCAAATTTAAGGGTTTCCTTCAGGAAAAACAGAGATTAGTGGTAGTATAGGTACAGTATTAGGCTCATATTTTTGAGACATCTTAGCAGTTCAAAAATCCTGAAAGAAAGCCTGAGTCCCCAGAGAACAGACGCTCATGTGTCTTTCATTTCCCCCGTCAGTTTCTCTTCCCCCAAAGACAGATTAAAGAATCAGGACATTCCTCACAGGAGATATCAGTGTCAGGCACTTCACAGATAAAACACACTTTCTCCTACTGACAGGATTTCTGTAGCTGCTGTACGAAAGCTATCAGTAAATCTCTAAACAAGAAAGCCGGAGTGACTAATCAATTGCAAGCATCCATTTTAACCATGCTAGAGGCACACACAAAAACAAACCCTTTCAACCAGCTACATCCTCCTACATTCATGACTGAGTGGAGAATCAAGTATCAGAAATAACCGAAAAATGTTGGACTCTGTTGTGGACCGGGAAAACGTTTTAGTCATGCTAACAGCGCGGCACTATGGATGCCAATGTCGGTCAGTTGGTCCGCCACTTTGGTCACCACTGAAATATCTCAACAACTATTGGATGAATTGATTGGTTCCCCTTGACTTTTCTTCTCGCACCATCATGAGATTGTGGTTTTGAGTGAAATATCTCATCAACTATTGGATGGATTGCCATAAAATCTGGTAAAGACACGCATGTTCCCCTCAGTATGAACTGTAATGCATTTGGTGATCCTCTGACTTTTCATCATCAGGTCAAAATATCAATTTATCTAGTACTTTGGTTTATGACTAAATACCTGCAAAACTAATGACACTCCCATTAGCCTCAGTTTTACTTTGGGTTTAGTGCTAATTAGCAAATGTTAGCATGCTAACAAGCGAAACTAAAATGGTGAACATGATAAACTGCGAACGTGTTAGCTTGCTGACGTTAGCATTTGTGTCAAAGCCTCACTGTTGTTAAACGCAGCCTCACAGAGCAGCTAGCATGGTTTTAGACAGTTAACCTTCCAGTAAACTCCAACACAAGTGTTTTTCAGAGGGACAAATAGCAACAAAAATGTAACTGTCTGAAATAAATAATCCGACATTCACATTCAATTGATGCTGTGGTTGACCAGTATTTCTGTCAGTCTTCACACGAACAATAGATTTAAACACTGAGAATGTCTTCCAGAGACTGTCTGCAAACGCGCTGTTATCCCAATATTTGCCATTTACGATGTGTGGCAGTGGACGACTTTTTCACTGAGGAAGGACACATTTGATTTCCAACATGTCATACAAACATAACACAAACCTTAGTCTGGTTCAAACATATTAAGGGGTGTTTAAGAGTAAGAGTGTTTCAAGTGTTTAAAAGAGATGCACCTTTAGCATTTATCAGACAGTAGGCAGAAGATGTGCTACAGTAAACAACAAGAGAAAAGGAAACAAGTCCTTGCTGGACTCCATCCAGGGACATTGCCATCTTAGACCATGACGCTGCATAGACAGTGAAAACTTTTCTCTGGTTGACAACATGGATCACAAGTTGTTAACTGGCTCTACTTCTGTTCATGTTCGTCTGACAGGCCTGCCTCAGACATCTGTATCTGTCGATGTCCATAGACTAAGCTAACATGCACATCAGTAACAAAGGCCTCTCTCATATCGCCTTGTGTCACAACTTTCCCTTTGAAGATGATGATCAGCAGGTCTTTCTTATCTGCAAAAGAAAAAAATATTTACATGACCCTGTGCTGTACATGTCTGGGTGTGCATATTGTGCTTGTATGTGTGTGTGTGTGTGTGTGTGTGTGTGTGTTTCAAACTACTAAATAAAGAAACTGTATATTCTTTATTGTATATTTTAAAATATTTTGATGCCTTGTCTATGGTGTGTAGCATGTGGTATGTGTCTCTGGCTGAGTTTGGGTGTGTTAGTGTGTCGGCCTGTGTTTGTGTGTGTGTGCACTCTGCACTCTCTCCCAGTGTTCATTTGAAATCGGCAGGAGTTGTGACAGCTCATCTAGAATGTCATGGCTAGACTCTGGCAGACCCTGAGGACTCCTGCAGTGTGAGCGGGCCGCCTCTGATAATTTGTCTAGCAGTCTCAGTGATGACAGCCCGCCGGCCGTACGGCCTCGGAGTCCTACAGCTCGGAGACGTGGAAACCCGGCTTATCAAAACCACTCTGTGCTGCCATGATGCGAGGCTACAGAAGCCTTTCCTCAATTTATTTTTCTTGCTCGAGTAAGGGGGTGGGAATTAAGGAGTACAGGAGGGATGGTGGGAGCGGCGGTGGACTCTTTGCATTGAGAGTGTGGACTCTGTGAGGTTGTGTGTGTCAACGGAGACCGAGGGGAGGAGGAGGAGGAGGAGGAGGAGGTGCAGGGGGCTGAAGAGGGAGAGTCAGAATTTGTAGACACAGACACAGATGGAATAGTTTACCTCCTCTGGCCCAGACTTGACTTCCAATGTCTGACCTGTTGTAACCCACATTCTGTTCGCAGTGCTCCTAGAGTGGCACAGACTTCCCACTGGTGTTTTTCTAGGACTGCTATGCTACTGCCGCTGTCCCTCCCTCCTTGCCATACCTGGCGGGGGCGGCACAGTGAGGTGTCTACAGCCGGGAGAGGCTCCAAAAGCCAGCCAAGGCTTCTCTCAAATTCATTAGGGCCCCCCCCTTCTCACACACACACACACACACACCACGACACACACACACAGACAGACTACACTTCAAGGGGGCTTCTCGAGACTAATAGCAACTACAGATTTTGTTATTCTAAATCTCTCACACACAGACACTTTGCTCAAATTCAAACACATGGTATTCATTTCAAACCCCTACTCTGTGTAGTTAGACTTTGAGATCTTTGGTGAAAAACAGAATATGAGAGGAAAACACAGCGTCAGGGCTGATTTCCTGATGGCCAATCTGGTGGCTGCGGGTTGAAATCCCAACTTGACACACACACACATCTGTTATTTATGTACCATCAACACACACACTACAAGAGGTTATTTGTCAATTGTGGGAAGGAGTCAGGAGGAGGGGTTGATTTTTGTTTAAATTATATTAAGTAGATTTGACTCTATTGTGGAGGTTTTCGAAGTTTTGCAGATATATAAATATAGTTGTTACTGAATGACATAAGTGTATAAGCATAAGGAATAAGGTTTTATAATGGTTCTGACATTACATCTTCAGGATTGACATCAGTGTTTTATCTTATGAGTTATATAGACAACACCCCACACACTACACGCACCATAATCCACACACCACACCACTACACGTTTGAGAGAGATATTGTCACCACACATATCGGTACTTCGACCAACTCGTGTGCCTGCAGCAGAAGCTTTAGCATCAGCATGACTCACATTGTCTATGTATTGTCCGCGGAGAGTTCGCTGGATATAAAGCTAACCAGAATTGTACAGAATTCATCTGAACTGGTGAGTGTACATTTACACAGGAGACTGACCGCGCGATTACACGGCTAGGTCACAATATTTGCAGATAATTACAGCCATCTCATTAACACTGCCCCATGGTTTTCTTCCGTTGTACAAGGATAACAGACCGGTCATAACTACACCACATCACAAGAGTACCATGAAGAATCCGTCACGCTAGCGACAAGTGAATGCATAGACGGTCTCCTACAATGCGACTAGCTCTAATATCTTCGTGTCGCAGCACACATCTTTGACCAGAGCATTGGTAAACTCCCACCATAGTCTACCACACTGTTACATACACACATATGCGTTTGCCAAACTGCTTCTTGAACTCTCCAGAAACACTCGGACTCTGGTGTGCACGCATGCTGCTCGGTGCTGCTACTAATATTTGCTACAGTGAATAGCGTCAGTGATTTAAAGCTTAGCAAGACTGCTTACATGGCAGCTATTTCATTCTGTCTCACGCAGTATTCCTTTTCCAGAGGCATTCATACACTGGGCATTCATCATTAAATACTGACAAAAACGTCCTCCTAACTTAGGTTGGTATGAAATTACAATAACTGCAGATAAAGTAACAAATAAATAAAAAAAGCATTATATAAATCTAACCTGATAAAGAACATTTAAATAAGAGTTTAACCCTCTTTACATTCAGTAACTATCTTGAGATATACCTAAACAAGTTAAAGTAGCAGAAATAATCCAGTAGTAATATATTTCAATAATCCAAAACAATAATCCAGTTGTTTCTCTGTGTACGATTCAACTTGGAGTTATTTAATTCATTCTTACTGTAAAGCCCTGAACTGTTCATAAGTACCAGAAAGAACCTGTTGTTCTCAATAGTTTTTACTACAATAAATCATTGGACCACTTCCTGCTACTCCGGCAGGTTATGGTGGGAGTGGGCTAGAGCACTTAACATTATTTATTACACATTACATAAAGCTAATTTTTTTTGCCACTGTATCAGTTTTTAAAGCTGTATTATTAGATTTTTTTTTTTGTGATTTTGGAGCAGTGAGTGGAACAAGCATGACATATGATCAACCTATGAATTGATTAATGCAAACATTAAACTGCCTATGTATAAATCCAGACACAAAACAACATAATCAATCATTTGGAGTTGTATTTCTGGCCACCTAATGAATGTAAGTCCAATAATTTTCTCTCTTTTAGCTCAGTTTTTGGTCTCCACCGACTCCTGAGGGAAATATCTGACTCTGTAGCTGCTTAATGCTCGTCTATGTTCACCAGCTAATCGCTAACTGTGTCTGTCTGCTGTTTGGTGCTGAGCAGGTAGAGTACAGTGAGTTTTACTGAAGCTTTTTCACTGAAACTGAAGTGAATGAGAGTGATGAGTTGAACCAAACAGTAAAGTTGCATATTGTAAAACCAAAACAATAACCTGAAAGACGCTAAAATGCACCGTAGAGCAACTTTAAGTGTGGACAACATCAAAAGAGAATCCACTGGGCCTCACTTAATATCTTTTGGGAGTATTAAGGTCATGATGTGACCCGTGCTACACCAAACTCAACAACATTTGTTACGGATGTAAAAATGCTATGTAAAACGTAGCATGACAGTTTTTTTATTTCTAGAATTTGTTTTGAAAATTGTACTAATAACAGCCAAGCAAGTGGAGTGTCTTGTTAGCCTAACAAGCCTTGGTTTAGCAAAAATTAGCAAGAGTGACAGTACCCAAAGCAGTAATGATGCAAGTGTGCTCATAGAAACAGTGATAATGATGGTGATAAAGATACCCAGCATGTTTTTTTTTTTTTTTCAAAGTCATTCACAATTTATAATTTATTTATTTAAATAAATTCAACCAAACCCTTGGTATGTTTCATTTTTATCATGATAGATGACCACAAAACCAAGGAAATTATAAAGAAATCCATTAATACTGTATATCTTATATGGTATTCGGCTCACTTACCATCCTTTGTCGTCATCCTCTGCCAGCTCCTCCACGTCCTCCTCTGGACCTTCAGTGATGGCCGAAGACAGTTTGGATTTGAAACGATTGAGGAGGGCCAGTGTCTACCAAAAAGATCACAATTAATATATACACAACACAAAGGCAAAGACAAAGAGTCCCAAATCTGTCTCCTCAAAAGATTTCAAGTTGAGTAATTAATGACCACATATTGAGTCACCTGTTCTTCTCTGGTTTTGCCTTTCTTCAGTTTTTTTTTCCTGAGCTCTTCGTACTTCTTTCGTCCCTCAAGATACTCGGCCACGGCCTCATTGGATGGCTTTTTTTCCTCTGGAGAAACAAGAGAGACGTCACAATTGATTTTATTTACATTATCTAAATCTTAGATGAAAAATTGAAAACGTACTACTTGTCATTCATGTCCTACACATACTGTTTGCTTAGCTAAAGATTGCTCGATTAACTCTTCATTCATAGTGCCTTTGTATCAAAGAAGCTCGTAAATGGAGCCACCTTCTGAAAAAACGCAATAATATTCTCTTTTTTTGCCATTGATGTTTGTTGATTTTGAATGGTTGTTGTGACATGTTGTGGTGACTCAACAATACAAGAACACCCTTGAGCACCCACTCCCCACCCCCACCCACACCCACTCCCTGCCCTGCATGAGACATAAAAAAGTACAAGATTTAAAATAACAGGAAAATAACATTAAAAGAAAATGTACCATTCAAAAAGAGTGAACTGAAACTAAAACCACAAAGTGACCACATTATCCTTGAAGTCATGAAACATAACCAGATATAATGATATTTTCTAAATAGTTTTACAATAAAAAGGTAAAGAAAAAGAAATGAAAACAGATGCTTATAATAAAGTAATTTTGTCACTGTGATAATATTAAAGTAGATTATCTATCTTTCTTCATATTTCTTCATTCATATTTCTGGTAGATTGGACATGTGTTAGTGGCCATGTAGGTTTTAGATTTTTTCCTTTGTTTTCAGATTTCGTGTTACCCATCAAACTAAAATAAAAGCATCCTCTAACTATTTGAATTCTATTATACACATTTAAAGAAATACTGAATTAGAACAATCCCCCCCTCCATGCCACAAGTAATACCATCGCTTGACACGATCTCTAGCACTTGACAGATGAGGAGTGAAAAAATGGGCAGAACATGATCAGAGAGAAAAGATAAAAGGAAGTAAAGCCTGTCAAGCTGTGACAATTGCTGCTGTACATGATCTGAGAACATAATAATACGAGAGGTAAAAAGATGAGGCAACACGGGGCAGTCCTCTCACCTCAGACTGACATACTCTGCGTGTATCCACACTCCTGCCAACTTTCACAAAGATGTAGTGGACTGAAGCCCCCAACCCAGACTCACTTTATCTTTCCCAGGGATGACCTACATTCCGGCTGCTAAACCTTATACCAAACCTTATGTAATTGATCGCTCCCAGGCAAGGAAAGACCCATTTAATCCTCAGCAGAGACAGGACACATGGGCATACGTGGACTCCATCTGAGTAGAAATAAGAGTCTTTAAACTGAAATATTAGATAGGGGTCATCTTTTTACAAAAATGTTTTCAGATTATATAAAAAGAGAACAGGGTTAAATGTTATGTTTGAGTGGGTCAAAAGTGGCATTTTACTTTCCCGGGGCAATCAGGTAATCCTTCTTAATACAGATTAATACGGATAAATACAGGATTGATTTTCTTTTCCAAATTTTTTTCTTTTGAGGTTCTTTTATTTGTTTTTAAAGCCTCACATGCACCGGCAACCCTGTACATCTCAGAACTTCTCTGCTCCAACTCAAGCCCTTTCAGTTCCTGAGAGCAGCTGTTTTTAACTGTTACACAATTGCGGTTGGTCGGTACGGGAGATCGTGCCTTTCCGATGGCAGCTCCAAAGCTTTGGAATAGCCATCCATTTTCACTCCCAACACTGGCCCTCCTTTGACACAGTTTTTGAAACAAAACTCAAGATGTTTTCAATGGCTTTTGGTTGCTGTTAGTATTTTATACTTAAGTCTTGTTCTATCTCTGTTTACATTTGTGCATATATGTGATATTGCCTTTATATTTATATATAGTTCCTAGTTCTAGTTGTCATTTATTGGTATTAATGTGCCTTTTTACTCCTATTTCAATGCAATTTATTTGTTATTGATGTTTCGTGCACTTTAATTCGTACAGCACTTTGGTCAACTGTTGTTTTAAATGTGCAATATAAATAAGCCCTGGAGAATTATGTCTGATATAGGAGCAAGAGCTGCTAATCTATTAGTCACATATATTTGATTCAGAAAATAAGTGAATGAAGGAGAACTAATCTGCGGCTATTTTGATAAATCAATTAACTGTCATTTTTTAAGCTTGAAGTCCAAACATTCGATGGTTCCAGCCTCTATAATATGAGGGCTTTCTGCTTTTCTCTGCTTCATATCATCCTAATCTGAATATCTTTGGTGTTTGGACAGTTGGTTGGACAAAATTACACTTGAAATGGCAAAAATCCACTTGTTCCAGCTTCTCAAATCAGAATTTTTTCTGGTTTTGTTAATCTTCTCTGATAGTAAACTAAATGTCTTTGCGGTTTTGGCTGTTGGTTGGACGAAACAAGACATTTTAAGACGTCACCGTGTGGCTCAGGGAAATTGTGATGGATATTTTCACTACATCAGGGTTCCCACTCTTTTTAAGAAATCATTTTCCAGGACATTTTCCAGTACTTTACTTGAACTCCAGTTTTACGCCTTCTTTTTCAATGATGAACTGTCTCAGGTCCATTACGATGCCGAAAAGATCGCTGCAAGTTCATTCCACCCTGCGTCTGGTGTGAACAGCTAGACTGACTGACATGGCCGAAAGGAAAAGGGAGTGTTTAAAATGTTTTTCCGTTCCGCTTCACGTCTGTTTAATCCAATTTGAAGCGTTGTGCTGTGCAGCTACCAACTGTTGAGTTTCAAACAAAATATGCACCTAAAGGTTAATGTAGGCGGTTTGAGAGAGGGGATAAAATACAATAAACTGTTTTCTGGAGAATACAGATTATTTCCAGGATTTCTGGTCATTTTAATCAATTTTAAGGTGTTTTCATGACTAGAAAACTCTAAATTTCGAGATTTTCCAGGCTGTGTGGGAACGACATTTTATGGACGATCAATCGTGATTAAAAATAATCGTTAAAACTGGACACTACAGCTGACTGGTGCAACAAATAAAGAGGTATGATCTGTGCGTTATCAAAAGCATTCAGAGAGTGAACGTGAACTCACAGCGCTGACGGCAATGCTGGGAATAATTTTCCACCTCTGCAGTATGTGTGAAGTAGTCTCTCATCATGAATGAAAGGAGAGACAATCGGCGTGCTGACATTGGTGTCTCATGCAGTTAATGTGCTTCTGTAAATCTCCCAGCTCAGACATACAGGCTGTGAAGTCACACAGTGGCAGACAGTGAGCACAGTCTGCTGGCTGGTGGAGCGCTTTCTTTCCACAACAAAATGTGATGTCACACACATGGCGAGGCCCGGGAAAGCGTCACGTCGCTGGACAAGCTGTGCCACTTCTGACTGGATGCTGTGACACATTCAGCTGCACCAAATAAATGATGTAACAGAGAAAACACTACAGCTCGTCATTCAGCGAGGGCTGCGCTGTTATGAGTTTCTGTTAAATGTGTTTAAATTTATTTAAACAGCCGTTAATCATGAGCGAGTGAAGTCTCAGAGGACTTGACTATGAAAAGATAAAGTGCTTGACAAGATCTACTAATAAACAATAAATTACAGAAGACATGCAACAACGTAAAACACAGGGGAGAGAAATAAAGCTTAAGACACAGAAGTGCCTGTCAGAAACATACCTAAACTAACCCAAGGTTACCCAGTCTGCACCAACAACAAGAAAATCTACAACAAAAAAACATTATAGGGTAATTGTAAAAAGTTAAATGAGTGAATAAAACGAGGAAGAAACTTTGAACAGGCCATATTTAATACAGGCCATCCGTTATTCTGCTTACTGTACATAAACGTACAAATTATAAGCACTGACAAACACAGAGTTTATTATAAATACAAAGTCCACTTGTGTGTCTTTTAATAATAAAACAATTTTATGCAGCGGTGAAGAAATTATGGTTTAACCTCAGTGTCTCTAAAATAAAGTCTCTTTACACTAAGAAGCTTGCACCCAAAAAATATCCTAAAAAGGTACAAATGTTTAGATATTAAAGGAATATTGGACATTTTGGAAAAACACCTCTGAGGCCCACTAACTAACACCTTATATGTTTTACGTTAATGTGGATAAAAACTGCACTGTAAAAACAATCAGTTGCAGTTTTACAGGAGGTTATGTGTGTGACTACAGTTTGGCTGGGACCAGTCAGAAAAGACTCCTCGAGGTTGGTGTGCTTGGCCAAGGAATAGTCTTTACACAGCGTGTTAGTAAGTGAGCTTTAGAGGTGCTAGTAGTAGTATTTTTTACCTTTGGACAGAGTTGGCTAGCTGTTTCCCCCTGCTTCCAATCTTTATTCTAAGCTAACTGGTTGCTGACTGTAGCTTAACATTTACCAGACAGACATAAAAGTGAATAACATATTTCCCAAAATGTTTAATGTTTTAATGTTACTATATTATAACACCAGAGGGTGACTTTTAAAAACTGATATAAGGTCAGAACTCTGTTGTAAAGTTAAATTAATTAATGTTAGTTAAATTAATTAAATATTAAATTATTGTTATATATTGTTTTATCAATATATATTAAGTTAAATATGAAATGCAAATGTATCAAATCTCAAAGTATTTTAATGTCATTTCTAGCCCTCCCCATATATTGGAAGATATTTCACTTATGTAACAGGCAGAAGCCACATTTCTTGTTCAGGAGAAAGTGTATTTATAAAACAAATACATATAAAACCTCAGGAGGGACGTAACAACGAAATGCTTGGGTCCCACAGGCTGTTTGGGTTCACTATCATTTAAGAAAACCATGTAATTATTCTTGTTTCTCTGGGCTTTTAGCTGCGACTACTGCAGATACTGAGCAAACACAGCCCTGGAAATCGAAGTGCCACACATTCCCCACTTCCCGCGGTGTCAACATGGAAGTCTGCTCCGCTGCTCGAGGGGCAACCTTTTTCTCTTGATTTATGAGACCAACAAGTGATCTCCCTCCACTCCCCACCCCTTCCCCCAGTCACCTCTCTTGCTCTGCCTCCCTGCTGCAGCCTGTGACATGCTGGATGCTGACTGATGATGCCCTGAGGTCCTACATGAGGAACACACATCACCTTCTCCAGCTGTTGTCACTAACTACTATCTTTGAGTTTGATGGCCTTTCTAACTACATTCCTCCCCTCTCCTGTCACCTGGGCTCAAGAGAGCTACAAATCAAGCTGCCGATGTTGTAGCAACCAAAGGCTGTTGTGGACGACAAACGGCTCCTCTATAGGATAAAAGGATCTCCTTGTCTGTTAAACAATCACCAGTTTTCAAAGAAAAGTCAAAGCAGCACGGCGCCGAGCTGTGAGGCAACATTACTGCTGATCATCAATCAAAAACACATCAAAAATGATTTTGTCAGTTGGCGCTTTGGGGTCAACACTAACTATCCATCTTCGATTATGCAACAACAAAGGCTTGAGAATATTTCTCAAGTGTCCTGTTAAAATATCTACCTTGGTCAGAAACTGTCAAACGGTATATTGAGTAGACAAAATAACATGCTAATCTTGATCACAGGTAATTGGCGTTTCAAATATCACTCTGCCGCAACATTTCTTCAAAGTCAACAATATGCAACAGGGCACCGGCGTAATAAAACACCAAGAGCACACAGGCATAACCTGTATAATATCTACGTGGGATGAAGACCGCTGCCAAATCATTTAGGGTGGGTATTGAATGGACAGTGGTTTCAGAATGGCTCTCTTATTTTTGGCTCTGGTACCCAGCGGTCGTGCCAAGAGAGAGAAAACCAGACTACAGGAACATGCTATAATTTATGTGATGAAAACTGAAGTGATGGCTGTTGAAAAAATAATTCAAAAAGGTAAAAAAAACAACAAAAAAACACTCCAATCAAGTGTATGTCATGCACATGAGGATGAGGAATGGGCACTGACTGAACTGTGAGGGGGGATGGTCAAAAGTCACATGACCATTTATAGCCATAGTACAGGTAGAAAAATTAGAGGAGAAAACGTTACTTTATTTGGTGTCTTCTAAGCGTTTTATATATTATATGCATCCGTGACTGAATTATGATGGAAATAACAAGAAGGTAACTGCCTCAATATTTGTTTTAGCATGAATGTATTACACTGAAAGTAAGAAAGCGGCAGCTGTGCCTTATAAATAAAAGCAAAACATTGGGAATGTATTATACATATGCAAACACCATCTGAAGTCCAACCAAAGAAAGAAAAAGAACAAAAACAAAAACATTATGGCAACTATTATGACAAAATCTGTCGAGATTTGTCTGGTTTTGCTGTGAAGAGATATTATTCAAAGGCCATAAAAAAACAAATTGGTACTTGTCAATTCGTCATTATTTTTGAGACTTGTTTTTTGCAAATTTTCCTTTTTTTGGACAGTGTAGACATAAACAGGAAACACAGGGACAGAGCGGTATGACACAGAAAAACTCCCTGGTTGGGGGGGATACATGGTATGAATCTCAACCACTAACAGGGTTCCCACTCTTTAAGAAATCATATTCCAGAACCTTTCCAGGACATTTTCAAGACAGCACTTCCTCATAAACGGTCATATAAACTGCAATTTCAGGCAAACTGACTATATTATACTGGCCACAGCCCATAAGTAACAGTTCAAATCAAGTAGAATTTATTTTATTTGATAAAAAATGAATCTTCTAGAAAGTTGAAGTGTGCATTGGACGTGCAATTTACATCACTGTGCATGTATTTGTCAACCACAGCAACAAGAAATGTCATTAATAGGCTTGCATACATGTAGATGTAGCTCTGGAAAAAAATAGACTCGATGCCAGAAAGATCAGTTCCACTTTGCATCTGGTAAACCGGTTTGAAGTGTCATACAGGTTAATCAGTCGAGTTTCAAACAAAACACGCACCTAAATTTACATAGGCAATGTAAGTGAAGGGGCTAAAATACAAATATTTCCAGGATATTTGGTCATTTTAATCAATTTCCAGGTGTTTCCATGATGGGAAAACTAGTCTCCAAGTTTCCAGCTTGTCCAGGATGCATGGGACAAAATTCAAGTAACTGCTAACTCTTTTGATAATTGATTCATCAATTTATTTTAGGGAAAAAAATTCAAAATTCTCTGATTTCATCTTCTCAAATGTGAAGATTTTCTGGTTTCTTAAGTCCTCTATGACAGTTAACTGAATATCTTTTGGTTGTGGACAAAACAAGACATTTGAGGATGTCATCTTGCATGCACACCTTTCACAAGCCTTTATGTTGTGACCAATGTCTGTTTACTTCCATAGAAGTTTTACAAGTTTAAGTAAAACTTTCTGTTCACTCCTTTTCTTGAGAAAATTGTCAGTTGTATATGATCCCAGTGGAACTTGTGAACTGCTTCATTTACACTAGTCACCATTAACCAAACCAGTGCTGGAGTCACTGTGAGTACAGTATACTGGTTGCTTTATGCACAATATGTGACAGCAGACTGCCGCCAAATTCGGTTTAGTTTGGTGCGTACAAGTTGAGTCAGGGTACAGGTGGTGGAATAAATAACAGGCGGTGGTGCGCAATACTACAGGTGTAGTCTATTACTTGGTATTTAAAGTATAGTAGTGACAAAATAGGGTTTATTCAAAGTTTTTGGCTCTTCTATTAAATCCTTTAAAGCTAAAACAAAGAAAGTAAAGAAAGAAAATCAATCAAAAGACTAAAATAATTACCAACACTGTTTTAGTACTTCTTAGAGCCAGAATGTCACATATTCTCTGGTTCCTTCCATCTTCTTAATTTGCTGATTTTCTTTCTCTATTTTATCTTCTTATGTGATAGTAAACTGAATATCTATTCCACTGTCAACAATTTGGACATACAGCTCTGACATGTCTTTATATAATGTCAGAGATTAATAAATGAATGTTAGCTGCAGCCCTAAATTCCCTAAACTCAAACCTACACTATGTGCATCCCCACTGAACCTACACTTACCAGTTGGAGAGTGAGTGAAATGAGACCAGAGGTTGACCTGCACAAAGAGGTCAGAGCAGAACCAGAAGCATGATTTAAGCTTTAAGGGACGGCAGTGTCAATGTGAGCCTTAATGTATGTGTGTGTGTGTGCGCAGCTTCTCCAGCGGGATGAGATAAAACGAGCCCTCGCCACAGTGTTCCTCTGTGGCTGAGCTGAGTTTCAAGATTTACAGCATTTGAGCAGACATCCGTCTCCCCTGCAGTGGCCATTGGCCCATGACATCTAAGAATTCCATCTAATGGAATTAACTTTTGCTTCCAACACAGAAATGTAATGAGGAACTCTTAAAAGAAACTCCTGCCTCTGGCTAAGCTGCCAGAGACGCACAAAACAAAAGGGTCCCTGGCAGAGTTTAAATACCTTGTAAGATAATGGAGGAGCTTAGGCTAGTTGCCACTCGGTATAACAATGCGTGGCTGTTACTGACTCAACACTTGAGTTTATAAGTGAATCTGTTGAGAGAAGGCCTCTTTCTGCTTAGTGTGTTTAAAGAAACAGCTTAACTCTATGCAAATATCACTAGGAGCAACACATTAAGTCAAATACACAAACAGAATCTTAGTTAATCTTAGTATTAAAGTACAATGTGATGATTGTATTTTGTACTCTTTCACCTAAAATCTTGAACCAATCAGCAGCAAGTCAAATGTGGGTTCAGTGTCTGTGTTTAAAAAACCTAAAACCATCAGTGTTTGTGGAGACAAAAACAATGTTTGAGCAACTAAATCCAATCATGGTCTTCAGTAAATTTTGGCTGGTGATAATCCCATGGTTAAGCTGGTCCCTGCAGAACCCCCCGCGAACTATTTTGTTTTGTTGCACAAGAATATACACACAACCTCAAGCTAACTTCTGTGCCTAAGTGGTTTTTGGTAATTTTCAAAAATGTGTTTCAGCATCAGCAAAAATCCAAAGATTGACGGCATTATGACAGACTGCAGTGCGGTGAGCACCCGAGGAGATCTTGGGGGCAGATATTTTACAGACTCACACTGGCCAGAGCTGCAAACTAACAAACACACAAAAGGGTTTGATGTGCAACTATGGCGGCCACTCAACAATTTACCCCCACACAATTTTCTGTGAGCTTTAACACAAAAATGCAGACCCTTGGGGGGGAAAAAAATAGACGTCTGCAACTAATTGACAAAATCAGAGGGTTGCCTGTCTTAGTGTCCATTAGCAGAGAATGTAGCACGGACCACCCTCTTAGAGACTTTGTTCACACTTAGAGCTCTGTGGTAAAATAGTTTCAAACATCCTTAAAAAGCACCTAGTTGTGGTAACATATATGTGCAGTATATTATCAAGCAGCAATAAATTTACAGCATAATGGGTAACAGTGATACACATCCATCAGTAAAAGCAGGGGAATAAAATCTGCTCACATACCCTCCTTGACTTCATCTACAGCAGGTTTTAAGCTTTCTTCTTTCCTTTGCTTTATGGCCAGTAGGTCTTTCTTCAACTGCCGCGCCTCTTTCCGTAATTCATCACTGCGAGGGGAGAAATGAGGTTGAAGAATTTAAACTCAACATATATAACGTTTATAAGGGATTACACCTGTAACAGACAAGAACGATGACAGAGCAACAGGTTCACAGACAAAAGTCAGCCGTGACAAATGCACAGTGAATAGTTTAAACAGACTTTTGGCTCTGCTGGCTCCTGGTGTAAAAGTAGCATATACATCATTTTAAAAACATTACATCAATACCCTCCATGTTACAAACAAACATCAATTGTTCTGAAACGTAATGCCTCTCAAAATTTAATGGCGTACGGCTAATTATGTGGGTATATAAAACAAAGAAGAAAAAAAACACTCGCAAGTGTCAGAATGAAGAATGTACATTAAAAGCTTGCGTTACTCCAATAAATTTGATAGAGCCTTAATAAAGTAATTGTTCTCCCCTCCAGGCTCCTGGAAAGCACAACAAGGAGTGTTGAGGTCGAGCAGACAGAATGTGTTTTTGGTTTCAGATGAGTGATTGTCATTGTAGCAGGTCTCATTAGAGCTGTAATTTTTAAGCTATTAAAAAGCTGTCAGTCAACAGTGGTTAATGACTACATATGCTGTATGTACTCCATACTCTCGTACAGCAAAATATTTAGAAAATACATGCTGGTGAGGTGAAATGCAACTAAAACCTGTGTGTATTGAACTAACTGCAATATTTAAAATTTTATATGCTACTGTTACAGTTCCCAGATCAAGTCCCAAGTCAAGATCACCACATCTCTAGTCAAGACCAACAAGTCCCAAATCAAATCCTAAGTCAAGACCAAAGTCACATTCCAAGAGAGGTCAGTCCCAAGTTAACAACAACAAACAGTTCAAAATCAAAGTCCCGAATCAAATCCCAAGTCAGCACATAAAGGTCTCAAGTCAAGACCAACAAGTTCCAAGTCAAGACCCATAAAGTTAAAAAAACAAGTCCAAAGTCAAGTCCAACAAGTCCCAAATCAAATACAAATTTAAGGAAAACAAGTCCCAAGTCAATACCCAAAAAGTTCAATATCAAGCCCAAAGTCATAACAAACAAGTCCCAAATCAACTTCTAAGTTGTGTCCAACAAGTGCCAAATCAAATCCCTATTCAATACAGCAAAGTCTCAAGTCAAGAGAATCAGATCAAGTCTAAACTCATAAGATTCATTACTTGAGTCTGATTCGAGTCCAAGTTGGGTAACTTGAGCCCACACCTCTGCATAAGCATTATAAGCACACAGTGAATATCTGTGTAAAGCAGAGCACAACACTTTGGATGAAATCCATGTGATATTATTGCACGTTGTGTGCAATAAACTACATAAACGTCCAGTAATACAAGAAATACACATCTGTCAAGTGCTGTTTGTGGCAGAAGTAATGAAAAACTTTATACTTCCTTTCTTCAAGTGGCACAACGTTAAGTATTACAAGCACTGCTCATGTCCAGCAACCCTTATAAAATCTTTAACTGGATGAAAGAGCCAGGCCAAGGCACATCCTTGCTTCCTTGACTCAAGGTAGTGTCCTTTTTGGCAGGTGGCCTGAAGCCCAGCTCATGCAAGGCTAAATGCTAGAAGTCCGAACCATGGCCAGCAATGCTGATTATTGTTCCCTTTCACATGATTGAGACTACTGCCAGTTTCAGAGCAGATATGTTATGTTAGGAAATGATAATATTTTTGTACTGCCTGACAGTTCTGTTTCTGTCCCATTCTCTTGCGGAGCCACAAAGCACAGGTAAGCTGCACAGTCTGGGCCCCTGGCCTAGAAACATGTGAGGCATCTCCAGACCAAACAATGACTGCCTTTGTTTCTTACATCTGCTTCTCCGGACTGACATTCATTTATATCCTTTTCTTTCCTTTTATCTGGAACTTTCATTCTTCTGTTTCTTGCTTTCCAACACTCATGTTACTTTTGTTTAATTCTCTGACATTGTCTGTGGCAAAGCATCGAGTCATCAAACTGAGTGATATTTTAACTGTAAGTGCCTTGGCAAATATTACGAGCTGTGGCTGACTTGATGTCATGTCTCTTCCTCGTTAACTTCCCTGCTGCTCCCGAGGATACACATGAGGAATCAGTCAGACATACAGTTGTTAGTCCTCTCTTTTCCTGGAGAAAAAAATGTTGCAGCTGAATCCAAACTGCGTTGCCAAGAGCAGAACTGGTTGGCAGAGACAGACTTGGCCTGTGTGGGGAAGTCGCCTGCTCAGCTCTGTCTAGAAGAAATGACAACAAACCTCTTTTCTGAGACACACTATTTATATACAGTATGGTAATGGGTAATGATACTCAGATGTGACAAACCAGAGGTGGGCACAATAATGTAATATTTCAAAGACTATTGCTGTCATTGACAATTTTACATTTCACACAAGAGGTTAAAATTTTTGGTCTGATTCGCAGACAGCATCCATCAAAAGTAAACACAGCCAGTTTATCTCAAGTGGGAATTCAGTGATGGTCTACATTTGAAGACCTGCTTGTTTCTAAGGTACTTTGACTCTGTTTCCATGATATTTGAAACTTTTTTCAGGACTAAATAACTCTTGTGTGCCACCACCTTTGTGTCTGTGTTGTCCTTGAAAAAGAATATTTAACTCCGCCTAGGATTATAGGAAACATACTGGTCCAAATTTCATGAAACTTGGTGGAAGGGTGTATCATGGGCCATGGAAGAACCTACTGAATTATGGAGTGGATCCAAACAACGGGGAGGACACATGCATTATTTTTTTCACTGCAGAAAGCTCAATTGCAATGCCATTCTGCATATGATAGAGGACTGGACTATTGGCCTTTGCAGAGGTCTGCGCTCTCCGAGTGCCCTTCTAGTTTACATGTTATGTTGTCTACCTCTATAAATGACAATTACAAAGGCAGCTACATTTGTCAGATTTAACAGAGCAAATTGACATTTTTTGAAGTGCTACACCAGCAATTTACACTTACATTGACTGAGGAGACTGACAAGAGACACGTGTCAAATCAACAGAGGTACAGATCACTTTGAGTCCTTGGTACAGGTCAAGCTCCAAAAATGCTGTATCCTACACTTCCCATAATGCAACTTTCTGGTAAAGATTTGTGGTCTCCAAGCTCTTAGTCTCCAGGGTTGTTTTTTCAGACTTGACAAAGCTCCTCCAGAACCACAGGCGATAATATACAGCTGTTTTCACAGGCTGTATAGTACACCTAATGAGTAGTAAACTGATCTTTATGTGTGACAATCAGTAGAATTCCCCCTTCAAGTGAGTGCAACAGGGATTCCTGCTGCCTGAATTATGGTTGTACCAGTAGCAAACAAAGCAAAATTGTTGAATTAGATTGGAATATATACACGGTATTTTTGTCTATATATACAGTATCATTGTCTGAAGCATCATTTTCTCCTCTACGTGTCCAGAGAGGCCTTCTTGACATGACTTCTGTATGTTTCAGTAAAATTAACAATGAGTCAAGTATGATGCAAGGCTCTTGCTTGAACAGGGTCCAGCCTCTTCTGCAGGACTAAGAGGTGAGGTTTTATGCAAATATTCTAAGGAACACTTTGGACTGAGTGATCATTTTCTGCCTGCCTTGACATGCTGCCATTCGGAAAACAAGAGACGTATCCAAGGCAACAGCCAAACAATCGGCTCCACAGGCCGGTGCCAATAAAGTGAAAGAGGCCAGAAAGGACAGGAAAAGCCCCAACACCACCTGTTAAGACACACCTTGAGGCTCAGCAAATTCCTCTCAAGACCCTCACACCACGACACTACAAATTATTTTGTTTCTACACACTCAAGAATAATGTAAGACCCACATTTTTGACAAGACTGGATAAATCACAATTTGTTGAACTGTATCTAGAGTATTTCCCAGGTTTTTATTAAGGCTGATATCAGTGTTTGAGATTTTTCTTAATCTAATAATGACACAGTTGCCAATAATTGTTTTTAACATGAACATATAACATAAAAATCTTTTATAAGGACCTCTTCGTACATTTCTTGGTCACAATTCGTAAATAACCAAATCTGAGCGTGAGATTTTACAGATGAAAAATAAACATGTCAGTGCTCTCTGGTGGACAGACTACGTAATAATAACACTGTTTCTAAATTACTTCAAACACATCTTTGGCATTTCTGTACTGCAATTTTTTGTTAATGATATATACATAGACACGATACTGTGATAAATTAAGACCAGGCACTTATTCAAATACGTCTGTCTCGACTTAATGTTAGAGCTTAAATGATAAGTCAATCGACAGAAAATTGGCGCAGCAGCACACACATGCGTGAAAAATGTCTGCAGTCGCCAACTGTTGGACTGACGGTGGCTGGTTGGATAATTTTAACATATTACCAAATCCTGGTGCAGTCCAGAAGAATCACATTGTATTCAAAGTGGGTGAATAGCAACACCTAAAGGATGACAGGAAGAATGGAAGAAGAGGAGTTTGTGAAGCATTCCCTGGCTATCTGCCCCATTTCTCCAAAAGCCACATCCATCCATCCATCCATCCAATCAATAGGGCTCTCCATCTGCCAGCAGGGGATGAGACTCTGAAGGTCTAAAAAAAATCAAGGCCAAGCAGAGATAGAAAAGCTACTACAAACAGACCTAAATGGGCAAAGCTAGATATAATATGAATCCTCTCAGTGTATCCATACCAGTCCCAGTGGCCCGGGTCTACTTGGGGGCTGCCAGCGACTGTCACTCTTTCAGAAAACTCAAAAACAGTGAAATCCAGAGAGCTGTGGATGATTAACTTTTCATAAAGAAAGCATATGAAGTGATTGGCAGGAGACCAAGAACTCTCTCATGATTCAGAACCTTGCATTTAATACTCCAGTGTCTGGCAGGAGTCTGAGGCTGACACAGGAATTCGACAACCTTAAAAATAGTACGGTGATGACTGTATGGTTCATCAAAAACTCAATCGTTTTCCAAAATGTACAAGCAGGCGTACTTGCCTTTTTTGGATTTCTCTGTATTCTCATTTTCT